TAGACTCTTGGCACTCTTAGGTGAGCAGACTTAGTCAGCCTGTGTTGCCCTAACACAGAGGAGCTTTGCCCTTCATTTGACATTTCCTTGTACCAGACCATAGTGAAGCAAAGTGTACAGACATGGAAGTCAAAGTTGACAACTGAACAATCAAATCTTCTCCTGCCATGATCAGAGTTGAGGGAGCCATTGTAGGCAGAAGTTCTATATCTGTGTTGTTGATCCTAGAGGGCATGAAGTACTTCTTTAATGTAGCGAGATTGTTCATGGTGACAGTAGATGAAAGAGGAGTAGAATGTCATGGCTGAGTCAGTGGACAGAATTGAAGTGCTGTAAAGATGGAAATCCCTAACCCCGCCCATTTGAATATGTAAACAGCCCGTCAAACTCATTGAACAGATTCTGTTTGTTCCATGTGCTCTAGTAGTCTGTTGAATCAATCAAAAACAAATACTACATACTGTTCTTGTTAGTTACAAGCATGCAACAGAATGGGGATTCATGCTCACTGCAGACAAATGAACAAATGGTCTTCATTTTGCAGGATATACAAAGAAGTTGGATGCTGACAGAGAACATGATTCTTATTATATACATGACAAGCTATAGTAAGATAAAGCAGTAGCTGAGAGTAAGAAGGTATGCCAAAGGCAAACAAAGGTGCCACCCACACCCTTGGTGGGTATGAGGGTGTCAACAAATCACATGGCATCATCCACCTGACCTATCCCACACAGGCCACACACAGCATACAGAGTCAAAAGTCTCCTATATTACCTCCTGCCAATGCTCATATCCCAGCCTCTACCTTCATCAAGTCCACTGACCACACCTACCCACAACACTAACCATTGAAAATTATTGCAATTGAACCCAACTTTGGTAATGACAACATATACCCTGCCATTGTATTCACTCACTCAGGTTGTTTAGTGCAAAATGTGTTCTTCAGTGGCTATGCAAACAGATAAAACAATTAGTAAACCATTGTCCTCTCACAGTCTTACTGCCAAAGACATGCACTGTCCACCAACTCATGCTATGGTCATTATATCTCCACACTTCCAGACTGAGATCAATACAGCACCTGCAAATGTCATAGACAAACTGCTTGCTCCCAGTGACTCAAATTTGGTTACTTCATTACATATCCATCTCAACAAGGCCCACCCAACCAGTCCTAGCCATTCTGAGCCCAGAGAAGGTCAGAGGGAGTGTGGAGTGGAACTTGCTCCCAATCAAAGTACAGAGGATGACACTGATAGGATTTATTGGTCAGCAAGTTATCTGGAGATGGACAGGGTAGTAGGGAATGAATGGTCTTCTGTTGACATGTTACTATCCCTGCATGACATGTCAGCATCTTCTGGATGCAGCACTAGCACATCCGTCAAGTGAAGTGAAAAGAGTTCCATGGAGCCTTTCACAGATTCCGCCTGCTTGGGTATGGAGGATTCTCCTTTGGTCAACCCCGTGGCCAAAGCAAATGCAGATTGTGAATGGAATGAAGAAGAAATTCACTCAGTGGTCACCATGAACAGACAGCTCTCCAAGGAGAAACAACTTGCAACCATACAACATTGTTTGGACCTACTGGTGGACACACTCAGGGAAATCATTCCTATATTGCCCATGCACACCACTGCCATCAAGTGTCAACTGGCAGAGATACTGATCTTATGGAGAGCAATTGATAAGGAAGGTGAGGAGGTGTATGGAGACGTCTATCCACCTCCCCCTTATGATAACTGAGACAACTCCACCCAATTGGACAAAGCACAGACAATACAGGGAGAGTTTGATAACTCTGACAAACAATCAATTGAAGAGACTGGTGCATCCATGGGTTATAGTCCTCCACTTCTGATTCAGTCTATGTTGATGGTAGGAAAAGACCCATCCCCACTACCTGCTTTCAGACATGGCATTGATATCTATACCAACAGTGCAGCTCATACCACATATAACAAGGCACACAGCGAGGCATTTAAGTGATATTGGCAAGAAAAGGGATGCCCCTCACTGGGCAACCAAATTTCAAACTTCCTTGTAAAGAGCCTGAAAGGTTACTTGTTGCCCAGCCTTGTTGGTTGAGAAGGACCATGAGAGTGTGGTTCCTTGAACATGTGTTCACAGTGACAATTTAGGGAATTGTACTTTTTTCAAATGTCTGCTACACAATTGTCTAATCTATCTTGTTTGTTTGAGTTTATTAATCCTTTCTACATATACACCAATCAGTAGTTAACAGATGATGTGTGAGATACAGCTGTTTTGTACCAAAACTTAGGATAAGCTCACTGGTGGCTATACGCAGAATCTTTTATTTTTATTCAAATGTATGTTTATGCCACAGTCTGGGTTTCTTTGTACAAAGGAAGTACCTCTCACTATGCCAAACTATATTCGTCAACAAAGACCTTATGATACTTTTCTCTCTATATGCAATGATGCTGAAGAAGGCTGCTGGGGATGGATGGACCTTGTCAAAGATGCACAAGAAACCGGGGTAAGTTTTATTCACTGACAAACAATAACTGCTCAAACTGCATCTACATAGAACATTGTAGCAAGTGTAGTGAACAAGGAACCACACCTTGTCCATTCAATGCCTTCTAAACTGCAACAGCTTATGGGGATTGATAAAGTGAATGAGTGGATTAAAGTTGCAGAGGTCATTACATGTGCAATTGAAGAGTTCCATTTGCAGATGGCAGAATCCTCCAATGTTCACATTCCATACCTGATTGATTCTATCACTTACAGTCAACAATCAGCAGGACTTTGAATCTAGTGCATTGCAACAGAGGGTTAAGGAATGCTAGATATGTCAGATACTATGGACCCAACCTGATGACATTTATAGGTGACAGGATCTTTGACCCACCACCTCCACAGGAACACATTCTCTGGTTCAAGCAGCACCAAAACAGACCATAACAATGAAATCCGGACAGGTATGACAGTGAGCAAAGATGTCAAAGGCAAGGGCCATGAAGTTATCAACACTTTGATAGATCAAGTGGCAATGGACATAGATATCCCGAGTCACTCTTCTGAAAAGCATGAAGAAGAAGTTCATGACACAGAGATGACAGACACAATAACTATCAGTGCCCATATGTGTTCCAATATTGATGAACATGTTGTTCAGATTCTTTTGCATACCAGCAGATTAGTGTCATGCTGCATACCATTCACAGGGCAGTTGTTACACTGCAGAGACATACTCATAATTAAGCTACAAGAGATGCACTGCTGGATATCTCAGAAGCCATACTCAAAGTAATGGGGATTGCTGATGTAGCTGAGATATTTGCATTGGATGAGTAATGTGATGAGTCCAATGGCATGTAGAATATCCTCGTAGAGGTTCCTTAGTAGATGTTTTGTTACTAAAAGAACATGAATATGTGATCAATCATACTATATTGTGAAGCAGGGATGGTATTTATTCTGATTGAGAAACAGAGAGTACATATAATCCATTGGAAGAACTTGTAAATGGATTGTGGACAGTTGACATTGAAGACAGATATGTGTGTGAGTCAGGCTAATGCAAATTGGACAGAGGTTATGGAGAATTTCACAAATCACATAAAGTGCCCCAAAACCACATGTATTACCACACCACGTTATGGTGGTTCATGATATATACTGGCCTGATAGAGTTAGCATGAATTCGAGGATATCCAAGTGGTTTGGGAGCATACAAGGTTTCATCCAGCCTATGGCCTTTTTATTCTGATTTAGAAACAAAGGGTATGTATAATCTGTGGTGACCATGAAGACCAATATGTGGGTGAGTCATGTAAACACAAGACAGAAAGAGGTTACAGAGAATTCAACAGGCCACACAAAGTGCCTCAGAACCACATGGAGTCCCACACCACATTATGGTGGTTTATGATATATACTGGCCTGAGAGATTTAGCATGAATAAGAGGATATGTGAGTGGTTTGTGTAAATACAACATTTGATTCCATTCAGACAATGGCCAATGGCCTTTTCTTTGTCTGTATTTAAACCAGTGACATGCCTAACTCTTTTCTTCAACTTATACCTCACAACCTCTGCATTGACAAGGATGGCACAATCATTGGAAAACATCTTCAGCTTTGTTACTGGTCTGTCAGGGCACCAGCTCATTGCTTGGTCAAGAGACATGACTAAGCCTTTATGACATG